TCTTAAAACCAGAGTTTCCTTCATCCTGAATGAACCATGTAGGAAAACAGAGCAATTCACAGATCATTTTCCCATCTTATAGAAAGTTTCAGCTGAAAAGCTGGGATGAATGCTATATAAAATCGTGTCTGTACCACCCCAATCTAACTCATTTTCATAATAGATAAAGACAAATTACATCTTCCTTTTGTTTTGTTTTGCTTTCCAATTTATTAGATTGTTTATCTAATTAGAGTGAGTGCACAGCTGAGCAGTGAGCAAACCTTTTGTCTAACAGTTGGGGTTTTTTGCTTACTTTTGTAGATAAGTAACAAGTGTTACTGCAGCAGGGTGAGGGGAAGAACATTTTTGGCATTTGCACAACTTGGTATTCCTCTTCCACATGGAATAAAAATACGTGTTGTGTTACAGAGCGGTCACCTTAGACCCGACATTAAAAAAAAAAAAAGCAAAGAACAAAAAGGAAAACTGTATACTAGGGAAAAAAAAAAAATGGCAGAAGCAATTTTTCACTAGGAATCGAAAGTGGGCAGAGAATCTTCATTTTCCACACAGGTGAGATCATAGACAAATGCAAAATAATTGTGTGTCTGCACATTTCCTGGAGTCCTTGAGATCAGTGTGTTTCAGAACAGGCTTTCCAGATGCTGCAGTTAAATCTTGAAAAGTTGTTCTGGAAAGTTATCCCACATTTGTGATTCAGTACAAGCTCGGCAGAACTAAGTGGGAAATTAGCTTTTTCTGTGCTCTCAGCACTTCACTGGAGTTGTATCTAATACGTAAAAATGAAGTTCTTGTGTTCGTTGTGTGGTGTTCTCTCTTTGCCGCTTCTTAATACGTGATTCAGCTCGAGCATTTGGCTAACTGCTCCTGAGCATGCAGATTGACATTGTGATGCAGGGAATTATTAAAATGAAACCCTCACTGTGTAATGAAGGACGTTTTCATGCTCAGGAGCAGGTGTTCCTACAAGTGTTTGAAGAGGATACTGTCTGAAGTACGCCAGGCACCGCACAAGTGTAGTACGCGGAGGCCAAAGAGACCAGTGCTGTGTTTGACAGCTCGAGCTTGCTCTTGGTTTTAGTTGCTTTTACTTTTAGGAATCAACTGTGTCCCTGTCTCATTAAGGGTGAAAAATTACTGGTGATGCTTTTTGTTCTTTGCAAAGTGTTGCCCTCTCACTGTCATCACTTCGGGTCGGGGTAGGAAATGGGAATGGAGAATGCAGCTGTAGCCTCGACTGCTCCTTAGAGCTGCCAGTAACTTGCAGAGCTTGGCTCCCTCTCCCTGTACAGGCAGAGATGGGGCATGATCTGCACATCTATTCCCATGTCCTCCACCTATGCGTGGCGCTGGTGAAGAGGTTCACCAAGAGGGTACCAGCCCCCTTACACTGCTGTGAAGACATCTCCCATCCATCCTCCTTGACTCTCTGTCCCTAGCAGGGGGTCCTCCAGATCTCTCAAAAGCGTGAAACCCCTGTCTGAATCTGCATATCCAGCCCCTCTCATGAACGTATGACATCACGTGATGGATATGACATCGTGTGATGGACCATCGTGTGACGGACCACCATGTTCAGGCCTGTGCAGAGCACGAGCGACCGCAGCGAAGCTCCCACTGAAGGAGATGTCTTCTGGAAGTGGTTTCCCTCAGCCAGGCGGGATGCCATCACCTGCCTGCACCATTTTGGCATAGGAGAGTGGACCCAATGCTGTGCCGCTGGTGTAGGAGAGGATCTACCACAGCAGGAGAACGTGGAAGGACCGAAGGAGCGAATGTCATATGTGGCTTGTGCTATTCCTTCTAGGTTTTTTTTCCCCATTGCCTTCTCAGCACCAGTTTAGGTGCAAGATTTTGTTGCAGTAGGAATGGCCACAGCGAACTTCTTTTTTTTTTTTTTTTTTTTTTTTTAATTTTGTCTCCTAAACCACCAGGTTCCCAATTTATGTGTGACTTTTTCCATAATTCACTCCAGCAGAGTTACTTTGATCCTACCCACTGGAAGGATGGTCCACAGACCTCAAAATATGTTTGCTCAGGTGTATACCCATTATAATTATTTTTTTTCACAAAACCCTTAATTTCTCAGTCTTTTTTAAGGAGAAAGATCAGTCAAGTGAACTTCTACAACAGGTTTTATTTGGCTCCAAGTTCAACTCTATTGTGGTGCTGCTGCCGATCCTTTTATTTTCCTTCTGGAGTGGTTGTGACAGGTTGGAGCACCTAATTTCTGCAAGCAGAAAGCCCAGAAAATAAGGAAAACGCAACAGCTGGAGAAATCCAGCTCCAAAAGCTTGAATGGTTTCCTCATGCAGATTTCTCCAAATCACAGCTAAGAAGGGGCATGGCTTGCTGAGAAAGTGTGTGCCCTGTAAAATAAAAGGATTAGGAAACCACTTTATAGCTTGTGAGATTTATGGGTTCAGAACAAATGGTGTAGTTCACTTGGCCTGCAGCTCTAAAGGAGGCCAAAACAAACTGCTTTAAAGCTTTGGTTCAAAAGGAAGGCTCAGATCCCCCCTCGCGTGGGTCTTTGTAAACGATGGGAATATGGGAAAGAGTCTTGTATGTCCCTGCAGCACCTCTAAGCTACCACTTTATGTTGCCTGAACGTGGTAATATTCAAAAGTGAATTTGTTCCAAATGTCTCAACACGGTGGAAATGTCACAGTGATGGCGCAGAGATTTTTAAAATACGTATTACGGGAAGAATTGTGGAGGAAATGTGCGATGTGACCTTTTTTCTGTCTTGGAAAAATACAAGCACGAGGCGTGGCGTCGCCCTGCTCTGTTGAGGAGAAGAATGGAAGTTGTTTGGGGATTAGCAAAGCCAAAGAAGCTTCATTTCATCTTGATTTGCATTTCGAAGGGGAGCTTGCCTGTGTGGATTCTCTGATGTCTGATAAAGGACGAGCCCACATCCAGCTGTACCCTGTAGTGCGGGGAACTTAAGGGTCTCTGTCTCCTGGAGCTCTGCGGGACCTGTCTTCCTTCCCCGTATTTGTATGAAATCAGCCAGTTGATTCAGAGGTACTAGTGGAAGGTTTGATAAGCTCACACAAATAACCCAACACAATTTTAAAAACTTTTTTTTTTTTTTTTCTCTCAGAAACTGGGCTAAAAATACCAAGTCAAAGAATAGCATATGTAAGAGCATGCAGAATCATTAACACCATTCTGTCTGGAAACCTAGCATATTCTAGCAGACAAACAGGGTAATTAATTTACTTTTTTTTTTTTTTCTGTTGAAAAGCTGGGTATATTAGCTTTTTGTTTGTCTGGTTTTAAATGTGATACATAGAATTGGATAACGTACTGAAGTCTAGATGAGTAAACTTGATTATCCCCAATAAAGCAGCTCAAATTGAATTTGTTCTGAAGGATTCAGTCTTCCAGCCCATTCTCATAAGGACTCACTTTAGCGTGACCAGAGTGATTCTGGCACTGGGGTGTTTGTCCCTCTCTGATTGCTTCAGATTCATTCTTGACACTGGGAGCCCAAAAGGACTCCCAGGCTGCTGACAACCTTTATCAAGCCCAGCTGCTGAGGAAGGATGCTGATTGTAGGCAGCCCGTAGTATGTCATGGAGAAAACATTTCCTTCTTCTGTGCTTTCCAAGTCACTGAGGTCCTTCTGTGCAAACAGAGACAACGCTAAATTCCTGCTTGGCAGCCTTCAGCCTGGCCCTACGGAGTCGTCTGCCTACCACAGAGAGCCACCTGCATTTAAATATATTCACCTTATTTGCATTAATCTAAATGCGCTCAGGAGCAGTAGGGATGTGCAAGGCAAGCCAGGAAAGAGAGCATCTGTCACCAGCAAATGCGTCCAGATTTTCTAATGAGACTGGTGACCATGGATGCCTCAGGTTTCAGCTGGTAAATTTGCAGCCCCAGCCCAAAAGGCTTTCGGGGGGTACGTTTGTGGCCAGTGCCTCTGAAATCAGGTGCCATCCAAACATCTTTCACATAATTTCAGATTTCTCAGCACTCCAGCCATTCCAAGAAATTGTGGCACTGAGAGACCATCAAAGGGACTTAAAGATTTTAATAATTGGGTTTACTGGATTAAAAAATTGGAAAGAAATTCTTGCTTACTCACCTTTCAGTAAGTGTTCGTATGCTTTGGTGCTTTTATTTATAAAATTTATTTATATCGAAATACTTAGCCAAATGGCCTGATTTTGAAGGTTCAGAGATTGTCTCAAATCTCCCATGCAGATAGCATTGCTTTTTGGACTGGCTTTTTGCATTATTTCAACAGTGAAAAGCAATAATTTGGGAGCTGGAGTTGATGCCAAGGAGTCTTGTAGAACCTATGAGTCTTCCACTCTCTGGCCAAGCGTTTCCCTCCACCTCGTGGGTTGACACTGAGAGAGCAAGTCCAGTAATGCCGAGAGAAGGAGAGGTTTCTGGGAACAGCAGCCAAGTCTGTCTCGAGGAAGTATTTAGGGCTTGATCTGTTGTGGATTTGAGCTCTTCAGGCTTGCTCTGAAATGAAATATCAAGTGACAAGAGCCACATTCACTTGGTTCCTACATTACAGCAATAGTACAGAGAAAAAGATCTTATTCTTCTGCGAGCTAAGTAGTTACTTTTAGTTTATCTTCCCCATTCCCAAAAGAGAAGACACTGGACAACTCCATTGCTTTTTTCCCCTTGTGGGAAATGATGGACATCCTTGATTCGCAGCATCACTGAAATGGCTGTTCTGGGTAAAACTGCAGCTCAGCATCTTGCTGCAGACACTGACCAGACCCAGCACCACAGGGAAAACTGCAAAAATCTCTTTAGGATGTATTATGAGGTGAGATGCCTGAAGGAAAAGCTTTCTCCTGGCCTCTTCCTTCTCCCTAGTAGCTTGAGGTTCAGCCACACACTAAGCCATAGGTATTTATAACCTCCCTTAAGCCTAGTATTAGTGATTACGGCTCTGGATAGTGTTTTTATCCTTATACAGCTAATCATTCCTTTGAAGGGTACTGCAACTAGCCAGGACCAAGGCAGGGACCATCTACTGTCCTGAAATAGTCCAGGCTGTATGGTTGTGCCTGTTCCCCAGCGTGGTTTTGGCCATTCCCTCCAACAATTTCCAGGGAGGGCAGAGCCCTTGGGTCACTCTCAGCTGTCAGCGTGGTTGAGGCCGCTGTGTTTTGGTGAGTATTTGGGTGTGTGGATGTGGGATGTGCTGTGCAAATGGTCTTCCAGGCCAGAAAACAGACCCTGAAATACCTTATTTACTAGAAGAGATGTAGCCACTGATAATTCATGTGGCTTTGAGCTGCAGAGACACTGGTTGTCCTCTTGTTCTTGGGTTACTGCCTGCCTACAGAGAAGGACGGGTGGAGTTAGTAGGCTTGGAGATGAAGACTTGATGGAGAAGACAGCAATGTTCAGGGTGGAAGAAGGTTGTTTTCAACAGGGTGAGTAATCAGCAGTAGAGGAGGTCACTAGAAGGCAGGGTGGATTCTTCACCGCATGAAGGCTGCAGAGTTAAATTAGATATTTTCCTGTAAAATGATGCTCCAGCTGGATGCAGATGTTTTAGTGGAGACAGGAGGGGCTGTAGCTTGCTCCAGCAATAGTCCTGCCTCACGGCTGCAAGCCTGGAGACCACGGGAGAGTGGGTGCTGTTTGCTGTTCCGTGTGTGGGGACCTTGCAGTCTGTGTTGCGCAGGAGGTCAGGAAAGGGGACAACAGCAGCCCCTTCCAGAGGTGAACATCCTCCTGAGATTCGTTTTGAGTCATACCCCCTTGTCCCTGTGAAAGGTGGTCCTGTTCTGCCAGCACAGCCAGTGCTTGGCGGATGTTTTTTGTGTCTCCAGTTGTGCTTGGAGGTGGAGAGGAGACTTTCTCTACTGGATGTGACCAGTCAAAAGGAGAGGAGGAGGAATGACAGTGAGGAGACCAAGGTATTCGACAGAGCACCTATGAGCTGAAATGTTGCAAATGATTTAAAAAATCTTCACAACCGAAAAATCACTACCAAAGTTGAAAGGGTAACAAAAAGAAGCTCATATTGCCTTCTTTTTCCACTGAATCCTCTAAACCTTGTAATGTTTCACAGCTGGTATGAAACCACATCTAATATCTGATCCCAACTGCTCAGGAGATCCCTGTCTCTTTGGCCCAAGCAGCGGGTGATTAGGTGTTTCAGTGTCTCACTTTGCAATGCCTAATTGACTTCAGAGCCTAAGTTGGGTTTTCCAAACTGATGTACTCATGTAGGAGCCTGCATTTTACTGGCTTTCAACAAAGTAAAATACTTAACACTGCAACTGGGTCAGGGTAGGACCGCACGCGTAGCTGGGTACCATAGCCCAGGTGATGAACAGATTTGCTAAGTGGGCTGCTAGGTCGCTCGCTTTAGCTCTTGATTGCTTACGGTCACGTCTTCACACTCCAGTCTTCCTGTAAGTCCTTTAGGTGTTGCAGTATTGAACGTTGCTAAATACCACTTAAAACCTGGGCCTCAGTCTTTTGCTTTGGGCAACTGCCTTGCTGTCTCAGCAATGATCTCCTGTTGCTGGCCAAATGACTTCCACGTGATGAAGATGAACCCCGTAAAGTCATTATAAAAGTAGAAATTTCTACCTAGACTGGCAGTTCTCTTTACATCTGTCATCTTCCATTTGCAGCATTATGTTTAACCCATTGTCTGTGACTGTAGAATAAACCCGGAGTAAGGACTACAGGATTTGACGAAAATAAGCCAGTGTTTCACTGCAGGTAAATTGGCAGTCTTACCTGCTCCACTTAGAAATTGAATTTTGCCATTGCTTTGTTGCATTCTTAAAGGTTGCTTTTTTTTTTTTTTTTTTTAAACAGCTGCCAAAACTGAATAGTGGCTGGTTTGTGTCCAGTGAAGAACAGACTTGGACTAAATGGAACAGCTGCACAAAGATGTTCAACATAATAGGTAATGTGAGTCTTTAAACAAAACCCAGTGCCATCAAAGCCAAAAATCCGAAAAGCTCTTAACAAAAACCATATTTGTAAAGAACAGATGGAAAAAAAATTGTTCCGAGCTGTATAACAAGATCACATCAATCAGCCCAGCAGCAATGGCATACAGAAACCTTCACACATGACCAAAAAGCATAACCAGAACCAGACATGATACCGATATCTCCAACTCCTCAAACAGCAAGAGGGAGTCAGGGTGAACAACATCCTGGGAGGCTGAAGGCAGGCAGGAAGCACAGCAGTTATAGAGGTGTTTTATCTCCATAAAGCTGGGGTTTGGGAGATTTAGGAAAGCATCATCCCAATACATTTTTCAACAGATCAGTTAAAAATACAGCCTCGAGCTCTCGACTGGTCTTTTTTATGCGTATTGGAAAGCCGGTGATAATCGAGCTGTCCGAAAGATGAAGCAAAGCACTCCAGGATATTCCCCTGCGTGTTTTTATGGTATTTTTGCCACTAGATGTCTCTGCTGACCTCACAGTGCACCGGACCAGCCGCTCTCCCTGGTGAACTGGAGAGACCTGGGTGGAAATCAAGTTGTGGCAAAACCTGCTTGTGGCTTTAGTTCCTTTTTGCTTCTGGTTAATAATATCTCCCGTTTAACACACAGATAAGAGTCACCTGAGAAAGCTCTCACAATCTCATTTTCTTCAAGTGTCAGAATGGGAGTAAGACACTTGCTGTCGTCCATCGTTGACCCTACTTCAGAATGCTTGTTGCCGGCTCTGACATTTTGATTCTTGTCCCCTTCCCATCTCCCTGATGGCCTATTTGCGTTTTCCCATGGGGTTTGTTCTCCTTGGATCCCACACGCACCTGCGAGCATTGTGGACTAAGAGCAGCGATGCCTTGAAAACACCCTGTGGCCAGCACAAAGGGCTCTGGGACATCGTGTAGAGCTCAGGGTGTCTGAGCAAGGCACCATCTCAGTAGGTGCTAACGACAGACATGAGAATGTTGGGAGGGAGCTCAGAAACAACCCGTATGATCAGGTGTGGACGCTGACTCCAAGCTCCTCCAAGATGCGAAGTGGCTAGAGGTTGGAAACTATGTCAGATGGTGCCTAAACTGTGCAGCCCAAGGACTGGATAAAATGATGACACCCGTGGCTGCGTGACCTCTGGAAGAGAGCTGGCTGCCTTCTCCTGGCTCACAGCAAAGTGGGTGAGCTTCGTGCACCCTGTGGCCATGGCTGCAGGATCGCCCTCAGTGACTTACACTGAGAGTTGGAGAACAGCTGCAAAATGGAGGTGCTGGAGGCTCTAGCAGCTTTGGCACTGTAGCTCTTAAGATGTAACCCAGTTTAGAGGTTAAGCAATGCACGCTTGAGGTCGAAGCTCCAGAGGGTTACTTGTACTGCCCTTCACGCCACAGCAGGTCTGTGCCTGAGGTTTCCGATAGCCCAAGCAAGAGCAAACCCAGTGTTTATGGTGACTTTAGCAGTCCCAGGGCTGCAGCGGAGGCCACTGCCAGTTGCCTGAGATGTGAAACTTGATCCAAAATGTTTTTTTGCCATTGATTTCCCTACAGGACTAGCCCCTGCCCTACGAGAACTTCTCCCTTCTTGGATAGACGTGAGCATGCCCTGGGTAGGATTTGTGGGGGAACATGAAGTGTCAGAGTTATAATTTCTTCACTATTACAACGAATAGATAAGCTCGGCGAGACTTCAAAAGATCTTCATCACTTTTCCTTTTTGCAGCTCACCACTCCGTGTTCCCATTCATTCCTGACCAAACCGAGAAGCTTTCAACACCAAATGACACCTTCCCAATTTCACTGTGTTCCCACGACAGTTCAGGGCAGTATCCAAGTGCAAGGAAATTCCAAGGATGCTCAGAGGCATATCTCAGGGGAGGAGCCTGGAAGAAAATATCAGAGAGTTCATGTTTTAACAGGCTACCCTCAAGATAATGGTGAGAATTAGAGAGTTTTCTCCCCTTTCCATTCTTTAGCTCTGTATCTCTGTAGCAATTATCAGAAGGGAAGTGCTGCACGGGATAGGTGCGGCTTTGACAAACAACTGTACGACAGAAATTCTGCGTCTGGCAAATATGTTCAATATATCTTCTGAACTCACATGACAGCACGCTCGGTCTGAGTTTAAAACCAGTAGCTGCAGGAGGAGAAGGTGGGATCCAGAGCTTGGGCTGGTCCCTGAGTCTGATATGGCATCTCCACATAACAGACCTGAGAATGGGAGGGGATGTGACTCCCTCCTCTTTTTACTTGCTCCCACTAATGGGAAAGCTGTTCCTAGAACTGATGTGTGTTTGAGTGCAAATCCCTTTTCTCCTTTCCTCATTTATTCTGTTTGCTTGCTTTGCTATGATTTGGGCCAGCAGTAAACCTTGGCATAGATCTGAGTGCTGGTTTGAATTGCAAAGGGATGCGTTCCCATTCTAGGTGAGGTAACGCGCTTAACATCTCTGTTCCTCGGTTTGACCATCGTAAAATCAGAGAATAACAATATTGACCAAAAGAGGTTGTGACATTTAAATAAGCTTGACAAGTCCTGGGGGACAGAGGTGACACTGAACTGCATGAGCTCCTGTTGGTACATTGAAGAAGAAAACTTCTATAGATGCAAATAATGCTCCAGCATGGAAACTATTTTGAGGAATCCAATAGTTAAACATACAAAAAAATCTGCTTTAAACTTGTGGTTGCATCTGCTGAAATCAATTATTAAATTAATTATTTGTGCTTTGTCATAGAGAACTGATAATGACCTTAGTACTTAAAAGGAGTTACATGGGGACTTCTTCCTATGTTTGAAGCCTGGCTGAGTCTTAATTATCTAGTTTGATCTAATTCATCATCTGGCTCATTGACTTTCATTCGGTGCGTCTTACGACATGCTCCAAAACCTGTGGTGCCCGGACTACTTTGATCATAGATGGAGACAGGATATTACAGCCACCGGTATGAAGCAGCCAAATTGGCTCATTACTTCATTAAATTAGGGCAGAGAGAAGAGCTGGAACCCAAATGGGGATGCGATGCTCTCTTTTTCTAGTCCCTATCGGCTCATCCATCCAGTAGCTGTCATCTCTCCCACTGACTCTGGACAGATGTCGAATAGGCTTTGTGCAGAGTAGTTGAATGTCTGGTTTATTGATGGTACCAGTTACACAGAAAAGGCCATAAACACAGTGTAAGGGGAAAAAGATATGGGACTGAGCTTTTTGGTTGGTTGTTTGGGGTTTTTTTTTAACATCTTCCTTCTCCTCCTCATAAATAATATAGCTGATTAGGTTTTCCTTTCAGTCTTGGCCTCTCTTTGCTTCCAGGGGACCTCCTGAGCTGAATATGAACCCTTGATCCTCACTCATGGGATAAGGTTGGACCTCGCTTGGCCAGTGTTCACTGATGAGACTGTGGCACCGTTGATCTTGCAAGCAAATGGAACTGACTACATCCGTACTAATAACCAGCACGGGTCTCAGCTGGCCATACAGCTAAATTTTATGCATGATCCCCGGAACAGTTTTGGCCGGTCCCAACCAGTCCTGCAGTCCACAGGGCAGATAGCTTTGCTGGTGATGAGGATGGATGTGACCAGCCTGTTCTGGGAAGCCACAGAGATTAATGATAAAGGTACAGACCTTTCCATCTCATCTGGCCATCAGGCCAGGGAACGGGCCTTGGCAATGCTCATTCTGCTGGCATAAAGAGAACAGAGATACTTAAGTGTCTGCTCTAGAAATTGTTCTGGTAAGATGGGCTGCACAGGTCACAGTGTTTCAGCTTTTTATGGGTTTGTTCAGTTCTGTCCCTTCCTGTATATGAAGTGCATTTGGGAACTTAATTCTAAAGCTGGCAGGGGAAGGGATGGGGAGGGAGCAGAACGGGTTTTTATTGGATCACTTTTCCTTGGGGCTCACGTCTCCAGCTTTCCAAGGACACCTTGCATCTCACTGCTTTGCTTGAAGCGTGAAGTCAAGGAGTTTGGCAGCAGTTGAGCAATCAGTCACTCCTCTCTGCTTTAAAACCTTCCCGAATTCTTTGTTCCAGTAAGAACCACCGTATTCAAAGTGGGAGATCACATCCAGGGTGGATGCTGAAGGCGGAGTCGCAGACAAGATTCTGAGTAAAGTTTACAGCTTTTCAAATGGCTTGAAATCAGTTCCCTTGACTGATTCCACCCGTTTCCTCAACTCATCCCTCCTTTGCCTTTTCAACTGTTTGTACAGAGGGACAGCTACACCTATACTTTGTAAGTATTGTGTCCTGGTTCTGTATCATATTTTGGGTCGAACCAGAGGTGAGATTTCCAAACTGCAGGTAACCCACATTTTTCAGTAAATAGCTCTGCTATTAAGAGCTTCTTACCTGGTGATTCCTGGGACAGCATTTCCAAACAAAGCAGGTAAAACCCCTTTCCCTAAGCTGAATACTCTTGCTGTAAGATCAGTCTTCACCCCCAAGCAGCTGTAACACCACATCAGAGCCCAGCTTTCAGCTCCCACCAAACAGCAGTGCTCACTGAAAGCAGGGAAGTACCAGGAGAAAAGGGGAGGTGATGCCTAAAGGGGATGGGGAAGATGAGGCAGAACGATAACCAGAATGGCTCTAAGCCCATTGCTACAAATTGTGTCTTCTCCCAAAAGCCTTCTTTTATGAACAGATGCTGAGGGAGAATGTTTAAAAAATAATAGTTTAGCTGTATTTAGATTTAGGCTACCTCAGATCTCCGAATTATTTCTTATTCTGTTTGCACTTTACATGTGTTTTACAGTGCCAGGGATTGTCCGTGCCAAGAGTCAGTGATACGTGGACACACAGTCTGTGTGACATTGTCATAAATTAACAGTGATCTTTATCATTACCTTGCTGCAGACAAGGACTGGTGCCGGATCAGTGCGGCAGAGGGAGGCCATCCATGGAAATGCAATCTGCGTGGCTGAATATGGATAAGGAGGAGACAGCAGGAGTGCTGGACAGGACTGGCTGTGCACCACGAATTAGATACGAGGGGAAGAAGCCAGTGAGATTTTCGGATAATCTCTCCTTGTGCAGTTAGGGTGGAGCTAAACTCAAGGACTTGGCAAAGCATTTCACAATCACAGATTCACAGAATCGTCTAGGTTGGAAAGGACCTTGAAGATCATCCAGTCCAACCATTAACCCAGCACTGACAGTTCCCAACTCCCCCAGATCCCTCAGCGCTGGCTCAGCCCGACTCTTCAACCCCTCCAGGGATCCCGGGGACTCCCCCCTGCTCTGGGCAGCCCATTCCAATGCCCAACAGCCCCTTCTGCGCAGAAATCCTTCCTAATATCTAGTCTAAACCTTCCCTGGCACAATTTGAGGCCATTCCCTCTTGTCCTGCCGCTTACTACTTGGTTAAAGAGGCTCATCCCCAGCTCTCTGCACCCTCCTGTCAGGGAGCTGTAGAAGGCGATGAGGTCTCCCCTCAGCCTCCTCTTCTTCAGAAGAGGAGAAGAATTTGGTTGCAGAAGCAGCAGAAGTATGAAGGCGAGTGAAAAAAGGTGGAGGTGCTCATCACTGAGGGCAGTAGGAGGCAGATGGGACATGTGTACATTAGGATTCAGGTCAACTTCAACCACCTAAGGGCTTCCAGTAAACAGTTGGCTGGACCCTCACTGTGGCCCATGGGAGTAAGAGGCATTTCCAGAGGGCAGCTGTCGGACTGTGTTAGATGGCCAACTTGGGGTGGGCTTGCTTAGCCCTGAGGAGAGCCCGCTCTCCCTTCTCCCTGTGGGAGAGCACTAGGTGACTATCTTGTGCTGGACTTAAGTCAGTGAAAACTCCCCCTGCTCTTACGGAGGAAAACCCAGGAAAATGCAGGTGTGAATGCCCGAGTGACAGCTTGTCAGAGACGTGGCCAACAACCAGCTGCAAGTGTGAGAAGGGTGAGAACAGGAGGCTAAAAGCAGGGCTGCCTGGGGTGCCAAACAGGAGAGATTATTTTGAGTGGATGAAAGGGAAAGGAAGCAGGACATGATAATGTGTGACAGCCCTTTTCCAGGATGAGATCTACTGGGCTGCAAGCTCACATCTGCGGGGAAGCAGCAGGAGCTACCAGGTCTCTTAAAGCAGGACTGGATGGAGAAGTGATACGTGTGCTCTAAGGAGCAGTCCCAGAGCGGGCAGGGGACATCTCTATCGAAAGACACCTCCAGCTCTCATTTCATCATTGTTTTAGAAGGAATAGTCGTTTATTTGGAGACTACTAGGATTATTGTCAAAAGTAAGGCTATAATCCATGGAGCAAATCCCCACCTGGCCTTACTAAAGGAGGTGACTTCACTGCAGTGAGTAAAGCTGCTGCGGCTTTTCTCAGAGGGGGCTGTGGAGATGCTTTTCCGCGAGTCACGCCGTGCGTCCGGCTCCCACTCCTGATCCCTCCAGCTCTGGGGACCATGAGATGGCGCAGTTACCCTGGATATCAGATCGCAGCTGGCTGCGCACTGGCCAGGTATCTTCCTAAAATGTGTGTGTGCTCCCCAGCTGCACAATTACAACCATGTGTTAAGGAGCTGCTGCTTTATACACTGTATACTACATCACCTAACCACCACCCCTTTTTTTAATTATTATTTATTTATTTATTTTGCCTTCCCAGGGAGTCATTGAGGTACTGTGGGACAAGAAAGAGCAGTCAAGCGTGTTGCACTCTCCTGTTAGTGTCTCCAAGTGTGTGCCCCTTGCAGGGATCCCTTTCCTCTCCTTTTCTTAAATAGGGCTTTAAAAAAATAAACTAACAGCAAATGCATTTTACGTTTCCCCCCCGGAAAGCACTACAAGGACATCGCTTGTTTTATTAGCAGGGCAGCAGGATGCAAAATAACAGACACAGACCACATGGCAGAAGGTGTTGGCGGTGGCTGCCCTCCCTCCGCATCTCCAGGAGTGGGAAGAAAAGGTCTGAAGCGTTGTGTCCTGTTTACAGGGGGTGTTCATTGCTGTCTGTCTTTGGGTCCCTTCTGAAGGGGTGGTAGCTCCAGTGCACTGGCTGGTTTCCAGGGATGGGTGCTGTGTTGAATCTCCTTCAGGTTCCCCATCATTCTGAACTGGATCCGTTGGTTTTTGTTTGTTTTTTTTTTTTCCTGCTTACGCTTCCCCAGCGGTTGGGTCATCTTGGTGCGTGCTCACAGACTGCCCTGGAGGTGATGTGTTTCTGTGGAAAATCTGCATCTGCTCATGAACTGACACACTCAGCCTCATGCAGAGAAGACAAACCTGAGTCCTGCATTTCGCATGAGCTTCCTCCTGGGAATAAAAATGCTTTGGGATAGAGAGAGCATTTCCTCCCTGGGATGCTGTATTTACTAGTGCAATGGCTGCAGCTTCACTCAACCTAGCATTTGCATTCAAAAGCTGTGGTGAAGCTGAGGCAGATGATGGATCTTCTTCAGCTCCTGGCAGTCAGCATGGCCATAACATGCACGCGGTGTTACACACGGGTGCAGTACGGTGCTGCATAAGTGCCAGTATGGGAAACACACCCTGTCAGTAGGTTTTGGTATTTGTTCCCTAGAGCGTCACTGATCCCGAGCGTGATACGGTGCGAGCTCACCCTCCTGCTCCACAGGCGCATTTTACTATGTCTATAAATGCCCTCCCAGCATGTCAGGCCCTGATTCTTATCACCTGTACACTTGAGAGATCAAAACAGGCGTAGAAAGGCTTATCCAGACTCTGCTGTGAGAGCCCCTGCCTGCCCCTGGCCACATTCCAGCCCCACACTGGCACCATCTCCTCCCTTGGCCAAAAGTGCAGATCTCCAGCATTTGAGGCAGACCACTGCTGGCCAGAAACCCCGACGAGTGCAGCTGCTGCCTTTGGCTTCAAGGAGAGAGCGGACAAGCAGCCCATATAGAGCGAGGAGCGGAGGGGCCACTTGTCTGGGCATGGCCACCTCTTTTGCAATGCTTTTCCAGTTGCTTTTCAAGCTCAGTAGGGTGTCCACCATATCCTGTCACAAGCAGGACCAGTGTTTTGGGAAGGGTTAGCACAGAGAAGCCCTTTCGTGGCACAGCTTCACCCTACAAGCACCGCACTGAAGTGGCCAAGCCACGAGCCTGGTTTTCCTCTGGGTACCTCAGAAGCCCAACTAAACCCCCATCAGCTCTGACTCTCCCTTCAGGAATGCCCTCCTCTACCCAGCAGGTGCCCAGGGCTCCTGAATGAAAACCCTTCAGGGCGTAATTAATGATATTTAGCGTTTTATTCGCCTTCCAAAATTGCCTCCCACCTTCCCTCGGCAGTTTGTGTGACGTTGGTTCCCGGACCAGCTACCCAAAACCTCCTGGGCCTCCCACTTGGGTGGGCTGAGATGTGGAGATGTGATGCCTCCAGTCCCCCATTTCATCTTAGGCCTTGGGGCGGTGTGTTGGGGAACAAGGATGGGGACAACTGCTATAGCAGGCACCTGGCCACCCTTGGAATCTCCGGTTGGGTTGAACTTGAGCTTTCCCCCCACGCTCCTCTGATGCCCAACCCAGGCACCACATCCACTTTTGCTATCGGCTCCCTGTTGCGAGCCGAGCCCTGCAAACCTACGCATTCCTCCTTGCTTACACACCACAAGCTTTATTTGTTTTAATCAAAGGGGCCCCTGATAATTATTAACATATTTAATTATTTTTACTCTGAGTCACTCGGCTTGGGTGTGGAGTGATCACAAGGATTGCTTTACTACAAAGACCCAGCCCTGGAGCATTTGCACCACCGAGTAATCGCTCTTTGCAGATGGAGCTCCCCTTGATGCCTGCCTCACAGCTTGCCTTTCCTCCCAGTTTGAGCTGCTTTTTGCTTCGCTGGAAAGCGCTGGCCTCAGAAGGTACAAAATTGGGCACATTCAGACAATTTGCAGGGCTAAGGCTTTGCACGCTGAGGTTGCTAACTCCTGGACAGAGCTGGCAGGGCATGATATTCATCTGAGCTGTGCTCCAGCCCCGCACCTCATGGGGGGATGTTAGTCCATCTGACCCCCATGAAAATTGCACCACCCCATCCAGTACCCCCACTCCCAGGCTCACCAGTGAGTTATGTGACCTCACACCAGCAATCAGAGCACACTGCAATTAGCAGTGTTTGTCTGAGGAAACTCGTAACTCTGCACTTCCACATGATTTATGAGGTTCCCCAGCCCAGACTGGCCTGTGAGCCGCGATCATTCCCAGTCCCGGCGGTTCATGGTGAGGCTACCTGGTGTTTTTCCTGTCCCGGTGTCCATCGGGGCTTTGCAGGGAAGTGCTGCCCCTGGTCAATGCCTGCTGTGAGCCCCCAAGGTCTGGGGGGTTTGGCTGAGGACGAAACCCAAGTGCCCAGGGTGTCTTTGCATTGAGGTGCATCCCTGCCATCCTGAGTGAGCTTGGTTCCTGCTCCCTCCCCCATGCCCTGGGAGTTTCTCCCCAAAATAAGACAGGATGCCGTGATCATGGATCCCTCAGGATTGCCTTGATCCTGGGCGTCCAGCATCCAAGGGAATCCTTGTGGCTGGTGAGCAAGAATTACTTTTAT